ATATGATCTCTACAGTCATTGTTATCCCCAACTTATCACACAGAGCTAATTGGCATGTGCCCTGGTTAGTTTTTTTTGTCAACTTGATGCACCTGGGAAGAGTGAAACTCAATTGAAGAATAATTTTCATGAGATTGGCCTGTGAACACGTCTGTGGGACATGGGAGGGGTCTTTTTGAGACAGAGTCTCCCTGTAGCACCAGCTGCCTTGGAACTCACAGAGATCCACCTGCCTCTGCCTCCTGAGTGCTGGGATGAAAGGTGTGCACCACCATGCCCAGCTCTGGCTGTACTCTTATAGTATCTTATATTTTTCATGTGTGAAGTCTTTTAAAGTTGTGGAATAATTTGATTTTTTTTTAAGATTTATTTTTTATGTATATGTATCTGTGTTAGTGTATGATATATGTGCAGGTGCCAGAAGAGGACATTGAATTCCCTGGAGGTGGAATTACAGGTGCTTGTGAGCCACCTGACATTTATTATTTGTGTGCGTGTGTGTGTGTATGTGTGTGTGTGTGTGTGTGTGTATGCATCTTATACTATGGCAAATGTATGGAGGTCATAAAACAACTTTGTGAAGTCTGATTCTGGGGGAAGTCTACTTAGTTGATCAGGATTATGCAGCAAGCTGAGCCATCCTACTGACCCATTATTGATCTTTCTTAAATACAATACTGTTCCAGGATTTCAGACATGGGATCACTTGAAATCTTTGATCATTTTTAGAATGTTGAAAGGGTTGGGGTTGTATGTAGATGCCTACTGCAACACCCATTCCCGAAAAACTGAAATCAGACCAGGGGACCCTTGGCTTGTGCCAGTTCAAGAGTGCCTTACTGCCTCTTGGCAGACTTTTTATTAGGAAGCTTAGTGTATAAAATTCATACAAAGCTCACACATGATTAATGCTTAAGCAGTGCAAAGCACGTAGGAATTTTCCCATCATAATAGTTAGAAAACAGCACAGCACTACTGATTTCTTTTGATGCATGCAAAGACAGGGGAAGGGGCATGACAACCTGTCCCAGTGTTCCAAAAAACAGAGGTCTTGCTGGTCTTACCCAGCATCCTGGCAGCAGATTCTCCCTGCCTCAAGCCTCTGCATTGACAAAACCTGAAGAAGTCTGTTGACTTTTAGTGAGCGAAGCACCAGGAGCCTGTTGACTATTAGTGAGCAGAGTGCTATTATCCTTAAGGGAAAAGGCGGGGGGGCGCTACAGTTGTAGCTTAATGATAGAGTGCTTATGTAGAATTCACAAGGCCCGTGGTTCAATCCTCAGTACCCCCTGGGAAAAAAAATTGTTGAGCACTATATCCAGGGAATTACTATGTAGAAAGCATATTCTGTCTTTTAAAGAGGCTTTGCCTATACCGATTAAGTACTTTCATAGATGTACATGTTTGTTTGAATTTTTGATTCATCTTTGGATAGTGGTAAAATATGAAGTTTTTCTGACTATGGTGCTTGATTTTTATCCATTTGTCCTCTCAACTTACCTAATAAAATGTTCTTAGATCTTTTTAATCTTATTTATTTGTATTTTATGTGTATGAATGTTATGTCTACATGATTGTAAGTACAGTGCCCATGGAGGCCAGAAGAGAGTTGGATTGCCTGGAACTGGAGTTAAGGATGAGTGTTTGCTAAGATACGGATTCTGAGAACCAAACCCTGGTCCTCTACAGGAGCAGCCAGTGCTCTTAACTGCTTAGCTGTCTCTCCAGCCCCCCCCCCCTTTTTTTTTTTTTTTGGTCATTTTGAAACAGGGTCTCCCTGTAGTCCCAGCTGTCCTGGAACTCACTATGTAGACCAGGCTGGCCTTGAACTCATAGACATCCACCTGCCTCTGCCTCCCGAGTGATGGGATTAAAGGTGTGCGCCACCATGCCCGGCAGCAGCCTTGTTTTTTTTTTTTTCTAATTTAGTTTTTATTTGCATGTATATTTGCTTGTCTGTATTTGTGTATGCCACATGGGTGCTGGTGCCTCATCAAGATCAGAATAGGGTGTCAGATTCCCTGGACCTGTATGTATGTATATATATATATATAAGTGTATCCCCTGCATGTAGGCGGGTACACCCATGTGTTGTACCCTTGGAAGTCAGAAGAAGGTGTGGGATCCCTTGGAACCGGAGTTATAGATAGTTGTTAGCCATCATGTGGGTGCTGGGAATCAAACCTGGGTCTTCCGCAAGAGCAGTGCTCATAACCTGCTGAGCCATCTCTCTAGCCCCCTAGCCCCCATTTGTTTTGATTTTTATGTCTTTTTGTTGTTTTTTGGTAGGTTTTTTTGGGGGGGGGGTCTTTTTTGAGACAGGGTCTCCTTGTAGCCCTAGCTATCCTGGAACTCACTGTGTAGACCAGGCTGGTCTCAAACTCACAAAGATCCACCTGCCTCTGCCTCACAAGTGTTAGGATTAAAGGCGTGCACCACCACACCCGGCAGTTTTTTGTTTTGTGAGACAGGATTTCCTGTAGACCAGATTAGCCTCCATATCACAGAGATCTGCCTGCCTGTCTCCTGAGTGTTAGAATTAAAGGAATGAGCCAACCATGCCCAGCTTATTCAGTTAATTTAAAGCAACTTGAAGGCACTGCCCTGCTCCCACCAAACACCAGCACGTGGCCTGGCATCCTGTATGAAAAACAGATGGGGCAGTTTCAGTCCTCAGCATCCACTGTCCTCTCCGTCTCAGAGAAGGGAGTGTGCTTCCCTGGAGGACTGACTATTCCTTTGTCAATCCAGCCGTCCTCTTGAGACCGCACCATCACCTCTGCCCTATCTCACACTTGCCTGCTTTCCTTTCTCTGTCCCTCTGTCCAATGGAGAGACAGAAGAGTAAACTTAAATCTCCCATAGTGCCCGGCAAGAGCTTCTTTTTAAGAGAATCTCTGCTTAATAAAACCCAGTTTTACCGCAGAAAAAATAAAAGGGAATAAGAATTTTTTTTTTCTTTTTTTTTGGTCTTTTTGAGACAGGGTCTCCCTGTAGCCCCAGCTGTCCTGGAACTCACTATGTAGACCAGGCTGGCCTCGAACTCAAAGAGATTCACCTGCCTCTGCCTCCTGAGTGCTGGGATTAAAGGGGAATAAGAATTTTTAAATCTCTACAACCTATAATTTCTGACTGCATTTCTATAGTTAAGTGGGAAAAAATGGGAATTTTCTGCTATGAAAGTATGTGTCCTTATGGAAATAATAGAAGGTTAACACAGTAAAGTGGGGGGGTTTGGTAGTACAGTAGATTGAACCTGGGCCTTATGTATGCTAGACAATACCACTGAACTATAGCCTCCAAATACATTTAAAATGTGTTAGGGAATAGGTGATCCTAGACTAGATATATTTACTTTGATTTGTTACAGCTTTGGCCTAAATCCAGCTTGACAAACAAAATGTGAGTTGTTGGGGTGATAACAATAGTGCTTACATCAATTATGGTACAAGAATTGAGTTAATGTAGTAGCATAATGGTTAATTGGGTAATTTAACATACCACCTGGCACATACTAAGGGCTCTAAGTGTAGCTTTTTTCTTTTTGTGTGTGAAGGGTGGTAGTGTGGTGTGTAGGTGTTCATGGAGACCAGAAGTCAACATCAGGTGTCTTCCTCAATTACTCTCCACTTTATTTTTTGAGATAGGTCTCTCACTGAACCTGGAGCTTACTGATTGACCTAGACTAGCTGGCTGCAAGTCTCAGGAATCCTCCTGTATCTCCTCAGTACTAGAATTATAGTATGGGATTAAAACCATACCTGGCTTTTTTTTCTTTTTTTAGTGGTACTGAGGGTCTGAACATGGGTCCTCATGTTTACATGACAAATAATTTTACCAACTGAGTCCATCTCCCTCTCCCCACACTTTTTTTTTTTTTAATTTTATGTGTATGCATGTATTGCCTGCACGTAGGTAAGTGCACCTGTGTTGTGCAATGCCCATGGAGGTCAGAAGAGGCTGTCAGATCCCCCTGGAA